AGGTAATAATCTGCACTTTGACTTAAATAAATCATAAGCAATTTATGTTATCGTTGTATGACCTCATTTTTTATTTCAGATGGTATCCCCTTAAAAGGGATTATACTCCGAATAACTATTTTAAATAGTATAGTATATTTAACAAATACTCCGTTTTACCAAGATGACAATACATATATACATTGGCTACCAGTCCATTGCACAATAAGCATGCTTCATTATTGAATATGCCTGTGCAAATTCAATTTCATTTTAACACATTTCATGTCACGATCGCCTTTCTTCACCCAGTGTTTTTCACTGTATCTATTGGTACATAGGAAAGCAGCATGTAGTATGTTCACTAAATGCTCATGTCACTTATCAGGTGAACGCCTACCTTTCAGGTTCTCTACCAGATTCACTGTTGAAGCAATGGATCTTGTTCCTTGAATCCTCACAAACAGAGCATCCAGGCCGCTTATAACAACCATCCTTAGTGGTCTCTAATGAGCAAAGGTCGCGGGGGAGGTCAAGTGTATGGACAGCGCCATATGATAACCCTGTTTGTCCACCATAAACATAAATACGGCTGCCAATGGCAACTGCAGCAATATCCTTACTGATAAAAGGCTGATCACCAACTGAGTATTCTAATAAATAAGAAATTTAATTAAAAGCTGAACATTTTTGTGGAGAGATGCATCCTATGCAAGAGATAAGTAACTACATTAGTGTGTACAATTACAATAACGATGATGGCTGGGGGCTGATTACTACAACAATAACAAAGCATTGAGTTCGGTGTTTATGGTAATATTGGAAACAATAAAAAAAAAATCACAGCAAATTTTTAAAACTCTGAATTGTTAATAATACTAAAATATACTAAAATTAATATTAATTAATATTATTGTGAAAAATGTCATGAAAAAAAAAAAACGAAAAAAAAAAACATACCTGATAAATTAAGCCACTGGTTGCACATGTATCTGTAAGCTAACATGGAAGAGGTGAAGCCAAAGTTATCATTCGATCCACCCAATACAATCATATGATTCTGAACACTAACAGCAGAATGAAACACATGAGCTGAAATCTGAAAAATTTAAATAAATTTTGCTCAAACTAAATTCCCATTGATAGATTTTGTTTCTATTGGCACTTTATACCACACCAAACATGATATATTTACTAAGCACTGCCCTTATATATAATTATTTGCATCACAATACAATATCCTAACATATATTAATACCATATTGCAATGAATCGGTAACTTACAGATTCCTCATTTGGTAGAATACTCCAGTGTTCAGTTGGAATGTGTAAAACATACAGCAGATCTGAAATCTGGGTTTTATTTACATGAAAAGTGTATCCTCCAAAGACATACACCGATTGTGTCTTCTCATCATATACAGAGGAGTGGCCAAAAACACCTAAAAAGAGACAAAAAAAAACATGTTATTGTTCAAAGAGTTTCTACATAAGTCAGGCCCGTTTTCGGTGTGATTTAAACATGCCAATTCTCAGAAAATATTTTCTAATTGTATTATATTACCACCCTGTCTCTTATACACATCTAGATGTGTATAAGAGACAGCTACAGAACGGAGTGCGTCAAAACGAGTGTTTGTTAATTTTTAGTGATAATCAAACGTTGTAGAATAACTGACTTTTTTTCGTCCGCTGTTGCAAAGAAGAAAACGACAGATAGTCCTGGTGGGTTATTGATTTTAAAATCAATAAGCCTAGCCTAGATGTTTACCAGCTAGGTTCGCTCCTCGTTCATTTAGATACAGAACCCCGACGACAACAAACTAGTGTAGGCCTAGGTTTCTAAGTACAGTAGAACGTACTACAGGTAAGCCTACTATGCCTAGGCTTTAGTTGTAAAAGTTGAAGTGCATGTACAGGATGCGCCATAGGCCTATATTTAAAAAAATACATTTTGTTAATCATTATTGGTTGGCCTGGGACGGACCTAGGCAGACAGGCCAGCTTTACCGTCAGAAGTCCTGGGATTCGACGATGGTCCTTGCACGTTTACAAACGCCATTGATTAGAATGAAAATAGAGGCGCTGAATTTCATTTTTTTTTTTTATTTTTATGAAAGATATAATTTATCGAACATTTATCTACATAAAAACAAGAATAATATTGTAGAAATTGTATTTCTAAAGATGCATATAATTCATATTTCATTTTATAGACAATAAATATTCAGTAAGATATACTAAAAACGATTATTAATTCTGAAATGTGCATCTCAGCTATTATTAATCAGTAGTCTATGTATTATGTTATAAATAATTTCGAATTATGCTATATTTTGGGCTCTGACTTAATTTAACGATGGCCCTATCAGTTACAATAACAGTATTTGTGCTTTTTGTAGCCATGTAGTAAAATAGTACTATTATTGTGAGAATCAAGAAGAAGTAGTAGAAGAAGAAGAAGAAGAGGAGGAGGAGGAGGAGGAGGAAAAAGACGAATAGCTTTTTTTTTGTTTAATAATAAACGTGTTGAGTATATGATATTGATTATGCGATGAGCTTTTTTTTTATCTTTTGGTGTGATTTAAACATGCCAATTCTCAGAAAATATTTTCTAATTGTATTATATTACCACCTTATCATTACATGAAAACCTTTTCATTACATGATCTTTTTCAAAACATAGGTCAAACTGCTTTTATAACATTATTATAAACCAATTAAACACAAATTTTTATCTTTTGGTGTGATTTAAACATGCCAATTCTCAGAAAATATTTTCTAATTGTATTATATTACCACCTTATCATTACATGAAAACCTTTTCATTACATGATCTTTTTCAAAACATAGGTCAATCTCCGATCTGTCCACGGGCCGCCAACTAGTGCTGTTGGTAAGAGTTTCGTAAGTGGGGCTGGCCTAAGCTCTGCTAAGCTGGCCTAACGTTCAGGGGTGGCGGGGGGGGGAGCACAATTCGTCGGGGAGAAAAAAAAATTATATATATTTTTTACATATTAGTAGACTCTAATATCGATTTAATAAGCCTTTGAAACCCCTGAATTTTCAAAATTTTCGGGGGCTTAATCCCAGGACCACTTTTGGAACCTATTAATTGAAGCTCGACCACGGCCACTTTGCTTTCTTTGGGGGAATCTGGCCCCTCGTCGGGAAACCCCCGACTAAATACAAGACAGCACGATGACTGACTGCATATTCTGCCACGACCCTGTTTTATTGACTGTCCTTAAATTTGTTCCTACATTTTGTATTAAAGGCAATGTGGGTATCATGACTTAAACTTACCTGTTGGTGAAATTCCTGTTGTGTCCACTTGGATCCAAGGTCGGTTCCCCAAAGGATAAGGATATTTCCATGTAGCATTCATAAGGCCATTGTCAGGGGAGTATCCTCCTATCAAAAGAAGATAATTTGATCCTGGGGAAGTGCCCCTAATTCTGGTGAGTGTATGCCCAGCAACAGCTGGTCGCCTCTGTTCCACGGCTATCTGCAAGTCCAAGCAATCCGTAGGTAGATATAATTACAATATACTAAATTGATATCACCATCATTATTACTTTTATTTAAATTTTTAAAAATACTAATAGAAATTTGTGAAGAAACCTGTACAAAAACATTTTGCACAACATTCACACATTAAGATATCCCTTAATACTGTACATGAGATCTCACACATTAAATGTACAAATCTCAGAGTGTAAAACTCTCACACACTAAGTGTAGAACTCTCACACATTAAATGTTCAACTTTCACATATAAAACTTTCAAACCTTTTGCATACATTAGAAAAATTACAGTATAGCCCTATAGTAAAACATGTAATGCAAAAGCTCATGCAGATGAACATGAAACATTTTCTTGAATTCACATTAGCTAAAGGCCTACTCAGAATTATAATTGCAATACCTGGATTTTATAAATTGATATAACTGTGCCTGCACTGTATATTAAAATGATGTTTTATACTGAATCAAGACAATTCAAAAATTGAAGTATTTCAGGCTGGATACTCAAGATATGGGTAAATACTTTCATTACTTGGTAGTGGCTAGATGTGCATGCATTGAATAACACCACTGATTAAAAATATATGGTAAAAAAAATTGTGTGGGATTGAATGCACAAAAGTTAAAAAGATGAAAAGAAATGGATTGTAGGCGGCAAAGCGACAATACACAAAGTACCTCAAGAACTCGATTTGTTAAAAGCTGAATGTTTCTCTGAAAATGGGAAAGCAAGAAGAAAAGAGATGCGACATTTACAATGTAAGAAAATTAGTGGAAAGATTAAGAGTCTGTCTCTTATACACATCTAGATGTGTATAAGAGACAGCTTTATACCACACCAAACATGATATATTTACTAAGCACTGCCCTTATATATAATTATTTGCATCACAATACAATATCCTAACATATATTAATACCATATTGCAATGAATCGGTAACTTACAGATTCCTCATTTGGTAGAATACTCCAGTGTTCAGTTGGAATGTGTAAAACATACAGCAGATCTGAAATCTGGGTTTTATTTACATGAAAAGTGTATCCTCCAAAGACATACACCGATTGTGTCTTCTCATCATATACAGAGGAGTGGCCAAAAACACCTAAAAAGAGACAAAAAAAAACATGTTATTGTTCAAAGAGTTTCAGGCCCGTACCCAGGGGGGGTTTTTATGGTTCGGGCGAATCCCCCTTTTCTAGCGAACCCCCCTGTTTTCTAGCGAACCCCCTCAAATTTTTGAATGAGTCCCACCCGTTTTTAAATTGTAGCCTGCATTACAAGCCTACATTCATAGAATATCTCAGCTTCAGAAG